CGCTTTTGCATAGTTTTTGCTTGCTGTTTATTAATCATTTGAAACTAGCAAACTAGCAGCTCCAGTAGTAAGATTAAAGGATTTATCTTGAACTCTGTCACGGAAATTATGTATAAACCCTAATCAAACAATTTAATAATCAATTTACAATGAATTTATACCCGTGTTGTACATTATGCTGTACGCCATGGATGAGCGCTTTGTAAAAATGAACGGATTGATTATTCAGCTGCGGGCGTCATCTTCTGGCGAGATGCGGGAATTCATTCGGCGCGTGACTCTCACGGTGCATTATGGGCATTCTCTAGCCGTTGAGCGTGCACCAGTTGTACACTCGTTTTTGCAGTGCATTGTGGGATTGAATGAGTGCACTCGAGAACGTCCACTATGGTTTCGGACACCACTAAAAATGGCTGTTCCCTCAAATAGTGCCCTATTTAAGGGTATAGGGGGCGATTTCGGACACAGCCCAGGACCTGAAATGGGTGTCAGATAAGGGAGACATACAAAATGTGCAGTGTTGGGGGGTGCTCAGGACCAGGGTTGAGAAACACTGCATTAGAAGATCATTCCAATATATATTACGCATTATAAATAACCCATTTAATTTAGTAAGAACGAAACAAACAATTGTGTAGATAACTGAAAAAGTGATAAAACAACTGAAAAAAAAATGACTCACCCATAACTGATCGGTTTCTTCTCTGAAAGAAAAATGTGATACTAATTAACAACATGCTGCAAATGATAACAAAGATGAGAAGTAATCTACTTATTCTCATAAAGCGGCATATTTATGTTTGATTGATTGAAAAAAATGAGCATCATTTTCTTCAGTTGATATTTGATCAATGATGATCATACCTCTGTGGTAACTTCAATGACGTCACTGTCTGTGGTGTAGTTGAGTTTCCCCAGCGCTGCACATTTGATCTCGTATTCAGTTCCTGATCTCAGATCAGTCAGAGTAACTACGTCTTGATCCTTCATCAAAGGTTCAGATGTCCAGACTGAGTCCTGCTTCGGTTTATACAGTAACTTGATCTCCACTGTATCAGGACACGATGGAGGAACCTTTACAACTACGGTGTTTTCTTTGACCTCTTCGATGACTGGACAGGCTGGCGGAGATGGAGGAATAAAGCAAACAGCTTCATCACATTCCCTTTCATACAGCAGAATGCAGGAACCTGGATTATTCTTCATTTCTCTTGAGGACACGATAAACATGTTTGATGTACTGTCATTCAAATCGATCAAGTTCTTAAACATCTTCAGGTTGCTCCTCATGGTCTTTTGGATCTCAGGACTAAGCCAAGACTTTTGCTTTCGATCAGGGCTGCTCTCATCATTTCCTCCTTTTGCTGAAGGACTCAAACAGGCCTTTTGTTGAAGAAGCAGCATGTCTGACCAGTTCAATGATGTGAACATGAAACAGACCAGATTTCCAACTTCCAGATCCATCAAAATCAGGTCTATGTTGACTTCCACTTGCGCACCAGCATTTTTCAGCTGTCTGAGGACTGATTTAACTATCTCAGACTCTCTTTCTCTCTCTTTCAGCCATTCTGCAAGGTCAGATCTTCTGAAAGGAGATTCCTCATGGTCTTGTAGAAGTTCATTCAGTGATGTTTCCTTCATCACGTCTCCACGGATGTTTGGCAGCAGAGAGCCGAGTACTAATTAACAACATGCTGCAAATGATAACAAAGATGAGAAGTAATCTACTTATTCTCATAAAGCGGCATATTTATGTTTGATTGATTGAAAAAAATGAGCATCATTTTCTTCAGTTGATATTTGATCAATGATGATCATACCTCTGTGGTAACTTCAATGACGTCACTGTCTGTGGTGTAGTTGAGTTTCCCCAGCGCTGCACATTTGATCTCGTATTCAGTTCCTGATCTCAGATCAGTCAGAGTAACTACGTCTTGATCCTTCATCAAAGGTTCAGATGTCCAGACTGAGTCCTGCTTCGGTTTATACAGTAACTTGATCTCCACTGTATCAGGACACGATGGAGGAACCTTTACAACTACGGTGTTTTCTTTGACCTCTTCGATGACTGGACAGGCTGGCGGAGATGGAGGAATAAAGCAAACAGCTTCATCACATTCCCTTTCATACAGCAGAATGCAGGAACCTGGATTATTCTTCATTTCTCTTGAGGACACGATAAACATGTTTGATGTACTGTCATTCAAATCGATCAAGTTCTTAAACATCTTCAGGTTGCTCCTCATGGTCTTTTGGATCTCAGGACTAAGCCAAGACTTTTGCTTTCGATCAGGGCTGCTCTCATCATTTCCTCCTTTTGCTGAAGGACTCAAACAGGCCTTTTGTTGAAGAAGCAGCATGTCTGACCAGTTCAATGATGTGAACATGAAACAGACCAGATTTCCAACTTCCAGATCCATCAAAATCAGGTCTATGTTGACTTCTACTTGCGCACCAGCATTTTTCAGCTGTCTGAGGACTGATTTAATGATCTCAGACTCTCTTTCTCTCTCTTTCAGCCATTCTGCAAGCTCAGATCTTCTGAAGGGAGATTCCTCATGTTCTTGTAGAAGTTCATTCAGTGCTGTTTCCTTCATCACGTCTCCACGGATGTTTGGCAGCAGAGAGCCGAGTCTCTTCGTGAGCTTCAGTTTGTACTTATAGCAGTTTTGCTTCATTTGCAGAATTGTATCGTGAAATGCGGTAAAAGACGAAGCAGGTGAGTCTTTCAGAAGATCACGGCATCTCATCTCAGCTGTATTTAAACTCTCAACCACTGATTCAGTTTCTAGGATTAGATCCATGCTGATGTCCTTCTGAAGTTTTGAAGCTCTTGAGTGAAGTTTGTCCAGAGGATAAAGCCAAACTCTCAGAGGAACCGCAAGCTCTTTCTTTTCTCCCAGAAGTTTTGGAAGATCCGTGAAAACCTTCAGAGCATCTTCAAAATTCGTCGGGTTAGACGGTAACTGGAAATCGCCATAAAACGTGCATGTGAATTTCTGGACTGCATTCTTCTG